GGGTTCTCTGCTTAGGCTCCTGCCCCCGCGACCCAGCCGTGGATAAGTGGAAGAAAATGGATGGATGGCATAATTGGTTATATCAATTTGACAGCATTTTTTGAAAACAGTGTAATAATGCAACTTGATTGTCTAAAATGCAGAAAAAATGTTTTAAGACCAAATATAACTTGGTGTTCTAAAGAATGGGCAGCGCGGTGATTAGTTCGATTCCGCCACCTGGCCAGGGCCTTTCTGTGTGGAGTTTGCATGTTCGTGTTGGCGTGGGTTCTCTTCAGGTACCCCGGACTATCCCACGACCAAAGACATGTGGTTAGGTCAATTGGTTATTCGAAAGTGCAAGCGGGTGTGAATCAGAGTGTAAATGGTTGCCTGTCTCATGTGTTAGCCCTGTGACAGACTGGCGACATGTCCAGGGTGTACCCTGCCTCTTCCCTTATGGTAGCTGGGATTATCTCCAGCCCCCCGCCGCCAACCTGAAAAGGATAAGCGGAAGAGAATGAATGGGTTCTAAAGAATATGATTATTTCCTTGCAGAACACAAGGAGAGATGTCACAGATGGTGTGGTCAGTGAAGATGGTCGCCTGCATCTTCAAGGTCATTGGATCTCCAACCCACATCCACTGCCACTGTACGGGGATGTTGGGACAATGTTAAAGACTTTCTTCAGGCACTTATATTTGAATCACCTTCTGTGTTTAAATGCAAAACAAATGTGGTGTTAGAGCTACAGACTACACTGAACATTCGATAGATAGATAGATAGATAGAAATTGAAACTAGGACTTTGTTTCATTATATGGTTATTAAAGCTTTAAATTGTGTAACAAATAAATATGAAATTTACATTTGGTAATATTTAAAATAAAATTCAATAACACCGGCTACTATAGCGGCAGTATACTTGTTTGTTGTTCAGCAGAACAGTGTCCAGTATGTTGGCTGATATACTTTTTTGCATTTGAAAATAAAAGTTGGGCTGATTTTAACTACATTACGAGAAGTGTTTTTAATTATTCTTACAGTGTTTATATCTGAGTGTTGCTGAACTAGAAATCTCTTAAACTCAAGGAATATAAAAAGCAATGTGATTTTAGTTGCATTCAGTTTGTATGTAGACAAATTAAAAATAGTAACTTACCACAAGTTTTTTTTTTTTAATATAATTGATCTTGAAATGTTTGTCATTGACCAAACATTTACTATTGCTCAGAAAATCCAACATATTCTGTGTACTCACAATGAAGAAGCTGTCCTAAGTTGGTGATCTTAAGTATTTCTTTTTTTGAGGCAACGAGCTTGCATATTTTTTTTAAAACTCTGTAAGAACTAATTATGACCAATGTACTCATAATGAATAAGTTGCCCTAACTTGGTTATTTTAAATAAGCTTTTCGTGGGGCTTTTTTTGTTTGTGTTTTTTTAGGTAACAAGTTTGCATATTTGATTACATTTTAATTGATTACATCTGGTCAGGGAAGAGTTGGCCAGATTTGTAAAAAGTGAAGTGGCTGCAGTGGACAGGTGCAAGGATATCGATGGTTACACCATGTGCAATACAGAGGATGTAGGTTGTGTCACAAGATGCTCGATCAATTTGTTTTACTAACTCAACTACACAAGACATTTTGTAGAGGGTATAGGAGCTGTGGAAGCTAGCCTGGAAACAACTGTAATCTGCACATTTTGTTTAAAAGAAACAAAAGAAAACAAAAATACTCCTCCGTACTGTAACGCTCGCCCACATTTGTAACAAAAAATAGACCTGCAATAGAAACGTATTTAGAAGCATGCATGTGAGTAAAACGTACGACAACATAAAGCCCACGCAGAGCCCAGTGTTTCAACAGAAAGCCTGATAACACAACAGAAGCAGTGATGATAATGTCACATGTTAACGTTGGCTTGACGTCTGTCTACACTGTGCACTACAAAGGGCAAAGAGGAGACGACACATTGAGCTCAGCTGGAGTGAAAACTTTTTTCTAGCTGTAATGACCATTAAAACCTTCACTGGGTAAAGCTGGCAGGAGCCCTTCATCAAAGAACCTGATCAACAAACTCCAATGTAAAGAAAAGCAAACTCTGCAGCTGCTCCATCCACGGCTCTTTGTTTTACACAGCAACAAATCTACAGTTAAGCTGCAGACGTACTGCTACATTAAAATATACAGATGAACTGTTCACTTAGTCTGATACCACGTTTAGATTAGGCTGCTGCAGGTGACCTGCAACACCTGAGTCTAAAAGGGGCCATGAGGTGTACTAGACAGTATTTATTTGAAGCTTTTGTAACATTATAACATATGGTGTTAATGAAATTGTTTTAATATTTAAAAATATAAAATGAAAAGCTTTTTTTCCCCACAGACCAGTAAAAATGTTGTGCATCATGAGCCACTGGCCTGGGGCTGTTACGTTGCACCAAATGATTACTGACATTAATTATTAACATGTGCAGCATCATAACGTTTGTGTTCAGCAGGACAAAATCTTCAGACTGTGCATATGCTCACTTTTCTTCACCGCTGCTACCACACGCTCCTTTAAAGGCTTAAAGACGCAAATTCACTCAATCGTTTTGCACATGTAAACATGCAGACACACACCTGCACAAAATCACATACTCATGAACACATACCTAATCTATGTCATCCAGCAGATACAACACTGTCAGAACCTTTTCCCACTGTTAACGTAAGAAAGCCTAACAGGCAGTTTTATTTTATGTATTCGGTTATGTTGCATGTATACCTTATATCATTTGACATTACAGTACTTTAGATCATTTATCTATTTTTGCATTTAAGAAAATTTTTTCTTAAAAAAAACTACATTAGTTTTTTGACAGATGTTGTATTTAGTTAAACTTTAAAACAATGCAATTTGTGTTTACCTTTTTCTCCTTTTCGCTCAATTTTCTCTTTCTAAACTAAATAATCTTTCCTAAAAAATTTTCTGAAACCATAAAGTGAGTTATGCTGAGATCACACTTGGTCATTAGGTCATCTCGTTTAATCATGTGCTCTTCCTGCATTCATAAAAGTGGGCCAGCATGTCTGAGAATATGTTTTGTTTCAGGAGCTGAAGGAGAAGAAACAGACTGAAGAGACAGAGAATGGAGAAGACTCTGCTGCCAATGGCAAAAATGTAAGAACAGCTCCTGTTAACGCCTCTCGCACCTTTTAGGATGTGGATAGTCCTTGTGTGTTACTGGTGACCAACATAAATCTGTCTCACCGTGTCAGGAAAAGGAAAATGGTGAGGAAGACAATGAGGTAGAGGAGGATGAGGAGGATGTGGGCGACGAAGAGGAGGAGGATAGAGAAGGTAGGTTTTTTTTTATGCCATGCTGAGCAAAGAGGTGATGAAACAGAACAACAACAAAACATGTCCATCAATATAATGCAGAGGTGAGAGGAAAAAGCAGACGTGGCGTTGTTTTTAGTGTTGGGGTCATTTTAGGAGTTTGGATTTTTGTAACACCTCCCAACATTTTTGAACAAATATCTGTACTTTCCATTCCTGACATTTTCAAAAACAAATCGTTACTTTTGGTTTGAGTTGATATTTCATGTCACTGTCAGCATCCGAACATGAAATAACTGCAAGTGTCCGTAAATTGCAGTTGCGGTACTTCAGCATCTAGCTAGCTCTACAAATTAGGATTTTTTTCTATTTCTATTCTAGTCTTCTAGAAATTGTTTCTATGAGCTCAACAAACATCAGCAAACACACAGATGCTTGTGTGCAGCTTGTCTCACGGTGTGTTGCTAGCTAAAGGTTCAGCTGCTGTATTACACAGGGAGAGAAAAGAAAGAGAGTAACTTCACTCCGAGATGGAGAAAGATATGAAAGAAGAAAGGTTAGATTTAAAGGTAAGGACTGCTCAGCGGTGTTTGATAAACTGGAAATTTTCAGTCCTCATGTTTGTAAATCAGATATTGGGTCTGTAATTTACTGGTCAACCACGTCCCTACCACCACCCACGGTCACAAGCTGTAGTGACCAAAAGAATGAGATCACAGATACAAATGGGGGAAATGAATCCTCACCCTATCTCTGGATTCAACCTTTTCTGTGTCACACAAAGACACGATGGTTGGAACCAAAGATCTCAAATTTGGACTCATCAGACCAAAGCAGAGATTTCCACTGGTGTAATGGCCATTCCTTCTTGTTTTTGGCCCAAACAGATTTCTTCTGCTTGTTGTTTTTCCTGAGTGGTGCTTTCGTAGCAGCTATTTGGCCATAAAGGCCTGATTCCTGCAGTCTCTCTATCTGGGCTCTAATCTGAGGTGCTTGCAATTTCTGAGGCTGGTGAGTCAGAAATATATACCCTCAGCAGCAGAGGTGACTCTTGGTCTTCCTTTCCTGGGGAGGTTCTCATGTAAGCCAGTTTAGTCATAGTGCTTGATAGTTTTACGGCTGCACTTGGGGACAGATTCAAAGTTTTAGCAGTTTTCCAGATTGACTGACCTTTAGTTCTTAAAGCAATGATGGACTGTTGTTTCTCTTTACTTAGCGGATTGGTTCATGCCATAATATGAAGTAGTCAAATAGGGCTCTCAGCTGTGTAGCAAGCTAACTTCTGCACAACACAACTGATGGTCCCAACCCCATTAAGAAGGCAAGAAATTCCACAAATGAACCCTGACAAGGCACAGCTGTGAGGTGAAAACCATTTCAGGTGACTACATCGTGAAGCTTATTGAGAGAAGGCTGAGGGTTTGCTACATATCTAAATTATGAATCATACACACGATGGATAACTACACATAAGACCAATTATTCATGTAAGTAGAAATTTGTCTGCATTATTTATTGATAGAGTTTGACAAGACATCTGTTTAGAAGTCACAGCAGTCACAGTGTGATCCAGGTGGGGTGAGAAATACTGAACTGAAGCCTCGATTTGTTCTACTGTTTCATTCTAACAAGCTTTATCTTTTTGTATTCAGGTGACGAGGAGGACGATGAAGAAGATGACCTTGATGGACCGAGAGGGAAGAGAGCAGCTGATGACGATGATGATGACGAGGTAAGGATGTGTCCAGCTTACAGGAGCAGCTTTTTATGCTAAAAACAGCAAGAACAGTTAGGGTTACAGCAGATCAGTCACACTGAAGGGCTTCAGCCTGCAGCTGCAAAGAGATGTGTCTGTAAACCTTTAACTATTTTGTGAAAGGTGTTATTTATCCTGAAACCAGATTTGATATTCAAAATATCATATATTTGAAAATCACTTTAGCTCAGTTTTCTGTATAGTTTCAAATTATAAAGACCCTACAGATTTACAGTGCATAATCCAACAGTTATCTAAGATTCCTTTAAATAATAATAATAATAATAATGATAATAAAAACATAAAACAATGTCCTGTTTAACACGTATCTATTTACCTGAAACGTTTTTTAGTGAGGGATAGAAAAGTTCAGAGCATGTCTTTGAAATATGTTTTGTTGACCTGCTGGCAAACATTCATTTTTACTTGTGAAAAGGGGGATAACAAAACATCAATAGCGGTGTTGTATTTTTGTGCAGCATCACCTCTAACCTCGATCTTCTCGGTTTTCAGGATGAGGTTGAAAGCAAGAAGCAGAAGACAGATCAGTAGTGTCTGCAGCGCCCACTCTGCACGGAGGACGACACTTTTGAAAGACAGCCAGCAAACCTTCTACACCTCAGTCCTCCTTTCGTAACAAAAATGTGTTTAAAAAGAAAATTTGTTTGTATTTTTATTTACATTTTATATTTTTGTAAATATTGTAAGGAGTTTGGCCATTTTGCAAAAGTGGGTATTCAGTGGTGCTCTGAAGACTTTTAGATCCACGTTCAACATCAAACATCCATACTCTGTCTCGACCAACAACCAGCCTGTCATTCCAACAGCACACACACACACACACGTACTACAACTACCTTTTTTCTGTTTTTCTAAGACGTATAGGATGCTAGAAGTTGTGTGTTGACCTGTAGTTGCATGGGAGTGTTAAAATAACTCGGCTCTTCTCCCAGTGCTGGGGATATATTAGTGGTAGTTACTATGAGATTCCAAAGTCGTAGTTTCTCTTGTCCATGTGTCTCTATCTGTGTGTCTGTCATGGCCAGATTATCATTTTTTTTTAATGTCTGTGCAATTTGGTTGAATAATAAATTCATTTGATTTTGTTTTTAGATTTGGACTGATTCTGCTTTAATTAAAAAAGAAGTTTGGACAACCAGGAAGTCGCAAAACACTCCTTCTGGTTGTGCTCATGACATGAAAGCTCGTATATTAAGTGTTATTATTATTGGTTGTTTATTAATAAGCCAGCTTGCTGAGCATTTAAAAAAAATATCAGAGTAGCTAGCCTCAAAAGTCAGGGATCACGCCTCCAGGACATCCATCCTTCACTGCTGACCAACACATGACCCCAATGGTCCTGCAGAAGAAGGGTGGCTGAGCCTCAAATTAGAGCTGCTGCTCCTCCGCACTGAAACAAACCAGTTGAGGTGTTCAGGATATCTGACAAGGATTCTTCCCTGGTTGAAGCCCCAGGATAGACCCAGAGCACTTGGCTGGTCTGAGAACATCTTGGTGTTCCCCCAAATCTTGGAGGAGGTGGCTGGGGAGATGGAATCTATCCCACTATGGATGCCGCAGCTCTCATTCCTAGAAATCTGAACAAATGTATCAAATTCCTCAAAACACGACTATCCAGAGCTGGGACCAGGAAGTAGAGTTGCAGTCTTACACGCCTCTCTGCAGATTCTCGTTTACTGTCATCCTCTACAAACCGCATCCCTATAGAGACTCTCTGCTCTCAGACCATCAAAATCAATGATTTACTAGAAGCTCTGTTTTAGCACTATGATCATTTTAAACATGAGGCTGGATGTTAAGACCTTTTACCCCCAATCAGATGTGATGTCAGGGGGACTTGATCTCTCTCTGTCCCACCTTTCTTGACGGTGTTGTCAAGAGAGGGGTACCACTGGCCATCGCCAATATGGCCAGTGGCACCCCTCAGCCTCCTAGTAGACAAACCTATCTTATCATTTTCAAAATTCTGACCCCCTTCTTATCATATTCACAAGATTTTCAGAACACTTGGCTTCTAACCTTGACCTTGACCAAGGTCTCTATGGAATCAATCGAAAGTCTTTCTCAAGTTATTGTGTTCATAAACTTGGATGTCAACATTACACGCCGGCCTGGCAGGGTGACAACAATACCTATCAGTCTTTTACAGCTGAAGGGTAAAAATGACTATATTGGACATATCAGCTATGTTTTTATAAATGAATTTACACTGAAAGGTGTTTTCTGTTATGTAACTGTGATTAATGAGGGAAAAAGAACTGATCTGACAACATGACTGAAAAGTGGACCTAAAACCTTTCAAATGGACTGTAGTGTGTATAGACGTTCTATAAACTATGCAGAGCACAGATAAACAGCACTTTTTAGTTTTTATACTTTTAGTGGGCTATTAGCTGTACTTAATATGTTATGAAATTCACACCAGTCACAATTAGCAAAACAACTTTATTTGGAGAAGTGCTCCTTTTCAGCAGCACCTGCAGAACAGCGAACAATATAAATCCCATTCTGACTCGCATCCATGGAAAAAAGAAAAACGGATCAATGGTTTTATTTTATTACATCTTCAAAAAGCAGTCTGCACCATTTTTCATAGATGTGTGAAAAAATTTAAAAAGATTGCATTTAAACGTCTTGATCACGGTGGTGGTGCTCTCCTTCAAACATGGTCACAAATCATGTTGGTATGCGGCTGCGCAGATACTCCATCAGTGCATCTGTTCCTTTGGCCACAATTGCTGCTCTGGGTGTGCGGAAAGGATTTCCCTCCAGACTCAGACACCTGAGGAACAACACCAAATTCAACTCATTTTGTGAGGAATTTCATGTACATCTTACAGGAATTTTACACAGTTTCCAAATTCGGCTGCGATTTTAAGTAGATGCACTTATGGTATAGATGTGAGAATCAGCAGACGGCCCATGATGTGATATCATCATGATACTTCACTCATGGTACGATATTATTGCCATTTAACATTTTGCGACATGCTGACAGTAGCATATATTGTCACTTATAACTTCAAATTCTGTCCTCAAAGATAAACGTTTTCAGCATCTGTTTTATCCAGCAGGATAAAGTGATCTCACTTAAAAAAATAAAATAAATAATGAGTAAGGTCCTTACCTGAGGCTGGTACACAGGCCCAGTTCAGGAGGGATGTTGAGCAGGTCATTGTTTGCCAGATCTAGTGTTGACAGATGAGTCAATTTCATCAGGCGACTAGGATCCACCTCACACACCTGGTTATTAGCAAGCAATATAGTCTCCAGAGAAAGGGTCTCATACAAGACGTGAGGGAAGGATTTGAACCTGTGAGCGACAGAAATACACCGAGTACACAAACACAGGTCAGACAGGCCAACTTACTGAACCACTGTACATGTGCTCCATTACCTACAGTTTATGAGCCACAAAGCGAGGAGGCCGGACTCCGTGACAACAACGTGAAGCGATTTGTAGCTAAGACCATGATGATAACATATTTTTCTTATTAGTTTCATGTGAGGATCATTGTCTATTCTGTGATTGATTAACTTCATTTTCAATGCACTGCATCATATTCTGAGGTCCAAACTGTACAACATACTGTAGGCAGGAATCAACATGTCAGCTGACGTCCCTTGTGGAATCAGATCGAGTAAGACAACAGTGGATGCTTCATGCTAAGCTGCTAAGGGCAGAGGTTTAGATCACATCCCACTGAGTTCCATCTTTCCATCCTGCACACTCTTCTTTATTTAGTGCTTAGATGTGATGCTCAGAAAGGTCAGTCAAGGGAAGGTATTGCAATGGATCACAAGCTGTATATGGAACATCACAACACACAACATTACAACTGCAGCTAACAGCACTGAAGTGCTTTATGGAGTAATGTGCAAGCCATGTCAGGATCGCCTCAGAGCTGATCAGACATCAAGGAGGAATCTAAGTAAGGCCCTGGGACTGCTGTGGCTGCTCCCTCGAGCAGCTGCGTATGTGTGTGTGGGGTGTGATGAAAAAATGCTGGATGATGTGGCTGCAATGTGGAGTTAAGTTACCTGTTGTAAACGAGGATAATGGAACGTAGTTTAGTTAAGTTCTGCATTTCAGACGGTAAATCACTCAGCTGATTATTCCTAAAACAAACGAAAGAAACAAATACAGCATAAAATATTAACACCTGAGCCTTTTCAGAGGTTTCATACATCTTACTGACTAGTACTAAAAACAACACCCATTATTATGTAATGTCAGATTATAGCTTAATTTAAACAGGACAGGACGGGAGACTCCACAGCTAAAATGTTGGCAGTGGTTTGCAATGATGTGGTGTGTGAAAAAGGTCTGCAGCTCTGCTGATTTGGAAAGGGAAAAATAAAACAAAAGCAAAAGAACACACAAACACACACACATGAATGATGCGGTGGATTTTTGTCCTTTCTGTACTTTGGACTCAAAATTTGCACATTATATAATAAATGGGAGCTTCCTGAAATAAATTCTGTCCATATCTGAGTGTCGGCTGTGTCTGCGTACCGGAGATCGATGTGTGTAAGCTGGAGTAACTTGCAGATGTCGGGTGAACAGCTGATCAGTCTATTGAAACCCAGATTGACTTCTGACAGCGAAGATTGGAATTCCACCAGCCTGCAGACAGAAGTGTGATTAGCCTGCAATCATCTGCATTAAAATGGCTTTTTGTTGGGGCTTTACCGTCTGTCACACAGTGATGCTCTGTGTGTGTGTGTGAGACAGAAAGAGAGCGAGGGAGTGTGCGTGTACCTGGGAGGAACTGAAGTCAGCTGGTTTTTGCTGAAGTTAACTGTGGCAATGCTCTGATCAGCTGCACCATCAAACAGCTCCTCTGGGATACTCCCTTCTTGCTTGTCACTGGTCACAAACACATTCACATTGGAGTATTTAGCGTAAATATACTGTAATAACCAATAATTATTAGGCATGGGAATTGATAAGAATTTAGCAATTCCATTGTCTCGATCCCTTATCCACTTGATTAACTATCCATTCTCGTATCGATTGTTATTGGCTCTACTTTGTGAGCTACCACCATAACTAAACTGCATATCACAGACTTTACATTCTGCAAATTAATTGCATGATGTGGTCAAATGTTTGTGCATGTTGGGGGTATTTCTCCTCTTTGTTGGGATCAGTGTTGGGTCATTACTCCAAAACAGTAATTATTACACATATTACACAGAACATTAAAAGTAAACATTAAAGTAAACATTAAAAGTAAGTAATACTTAATTACTCCCACGAGCCAGTCATTTGTTACACTACTCGTTACATTACTTTTGTGTTTCTCCATAAAATGACCTGTAATCACCATTTAACACTATAAGCCTGAGGCTAAAGTCCCACACACCAACACAAACCCCTATCCGGATGAAGACACACATATGATCTTTCTCTTAGTATTTAGGTATGAAGACAAATCCAATAGCACAAAGCAAAGACAAAAACCAGCACAAAGAGCCTGGTGAGTATAGTTTTCTGATTCCCTGACGGAGTACATGCACATTCCTGTGGAAATGCAGAAACCAGTCTATATAACTAACCTGTATGCCAACAGCTTGAGAGTTTTAATGTCATGCACATTGACCCTGGCCTGGCTGGGTAACATCATAGCTGTATCTCCTCCATCTGTTTTGTCAGGCTCCTCTACAAAAAACAAACATAAACACTTTGAAAAGATCATGTAAGGACAGCAGAATCTGTAGATTTCGGCACCCAGGACAAGAAGAACTAAAGCATTGATAGCAATACCATCACACTACTAAGCATTATTAAGGTATTAGTAAGGTGTTAGCACCTTCATTTATATAGCATAACTACTAGTTAGTATCCCATTTACATATACAGTTAGGGCAAAAAACAACTTTACCTTTAACTCTTCCTCTCAAATACTTCAGAAGCTCACTGGTTCCTTTCTGTAAGAAAAGACAACGTTTCTCCAGATTCTCTGAATATTTTCTTGATATTATGTTCTGCAGATAATGAATTACTCAAAGATAATAATATTTAATGTGATTTAAAAGTCTTTTAGTTTTTAAATTTAAAGAACGTTCCAACTTTTCTGGAATTCACGTTGTATTATAACTTCTCTATATAATCCTGTAAATTCAGATTTCAGTGTTTTTACATATTCATTTGCCATGTTTCCTTTCTCTCTTCCTTTCCTCTGTTTTACCATGCATACTCTGTATTTGAGTCCTCATGTGTCACCTACAGAGAGGATGTCTCTCCTGATTCCTCGCAGAGGGTTTCCCTCCAACAGCAGCACGTTCAGATTGGGCAGCAGGCTGAGTGACGCTGGAAGGCTGACAGGACACAAAATATTATTCGTATGAAAATCTGCCTGCTAGGATTTACTCTGAAAAGGTGGACACTTTTCAGATATAACATCAAGAAATACTTGAAATAAAGAAAACAAGAATAAAATACAAATTATTTTATACAAATTCAGACTAATGGCACTAGAAACTTGATGCCGCTGCTCTCAGTGTAGAGCAGCGATTATATTTCCTTCCAACTGAATTCAGTCACATCCTGGCTGCTTGCAGGTATAAAAGGTTTACTGAGCAGTGTGTCATCATACTGAAGGCTTACCTGGTAATGTCATTGTTGGTGAGGTCAAGGCGTGTTAGCGTACTCAGTAAAGTGATCTCTTCAGGGACTGTTTTGATCTTGTTGTTTCTGAGTTCCAGAAGAGAGATGGCTGTCAGGCAGGATAGCTGCTCCGTCTGCAACTGCTCAATTTGGTTGTTCCCCACATATAACTCCTACACACACAC